GACTTTGCAGGTCAAAAGTCATCTAGATTTTAAGACTTTGACAAATTGACTTTAAAATGTCCTCGAGGAAAAAGGTCTATAAATCAGAGAGAGAAACAAAAATGCCCATCAGAATTTTACAAAGCCATGTGTTTTAGTGTTGATGTTTATTATTTTATTATTTTGGAGAAAGGTTTGTGAAAAAGAGATTTAAAACCCAAATTGTCTGCTGAAATATACAGTTTGCAGTCTACACATCTTGGTTTAAAGTAGAATTTGTTTGAAAAGTGAACGTTTTTAACGGTTTCAGAAAGGTGTGACCAAGATGAAATTACCAATAAAATGTATAGGCTTCTTTTAAACTGAAAATCATTGTGCTTGCTAAAAAAAAAAATCAGCATTCAAAACAATGCATGAAAAAAACTGTCTGTACTAACTTGACCTATTGCATGAGACAAAGCCTGCCACACTTGATGCCCGAGAGAGAGAGGAACTAAAACTGATCAGGGAAGTGTCTCTTATTTTGGTTTGCCAATAACTTTACAACACAACAATGTGTTTTTGTGGACATTACAGCTGAGTGAGAAGCAATCCAAGCAAAGTGTTACACACACACACACAAACAAAGATACTGCGTAGGCCAGAATAAAACTAGTCCAGTTACATTTCTGACTTGATTAAGAAATCTACGTTTGCCAAATGTTGGCTCAGCCATGTCCTGCCTTCCTCAATTTGAGAGAAGTGAGAGATGATGTAGCTCACACGCAGACATTTATATCACACTATATAAACTCAGAGACCAAAACCCACATACACAAGGATTAAAACTACCTCTGTTTCTCAGACACTCCTAGCACAGGTCTGAAAAAAAGCAATGCTTACCAATAAAGCTAAATGAGGAAGTGAAAGACACTGCATTGCATTTACAGATTGTTTGACTTGTAGATACAGGCAGCTCATTTTGACAAAAGAGGTTTTAAAAGTCTACTTACTTAGATGTGAATCGTCCCCTAGCATCATAAGAACTGAGGAGGTAAATGTGACAAATAAGAAATAATCAGGCGAATGTTGATGCAAATGAGATACAAAATCATACAAAAAAGTTGTCATAACATAAATAAAATGAAAATAACAATATTTTACTTAAGGGGGTTTGTGTAGTTCTGCTAAAGCTATCATGTAATTATTCCAATCACACTGTAAATCATCAATCACAACAAGGAGGAAGTTTCACTGTGCTGTTAAACAGACTTGTAACAGTGGCAAAAAGTGTTTAAATTAAGAATGAAATACTTAGGCTGCAATCTCACATTTGTCTTAATATAGCTAGGAAAGAAAACGTACACTTATATATGTTCTTGAACGTCAAAGTCATGATAATTATTGGTCAATATTACATTTAGTCTAAACCTCTTATTCTACGAGTTACTATTATTATTCTACAGTAAATAAAAGAGTTGCCGCTCACCATCCATAATGCAGGAACACTGTCGTATCAAACGTTGTTGTCTCTTGGAGAAGCCCGAGTTGAATGAGTGACAGTGGACAGGAAAGTGATATTTGTTAGAAAAGAGGCGACGCGGGGAATTCCCCTCCGTCACCGCCCCCTTCATCTGAACTGACCAATTAGAGGCCGCGCGAGTCGGAGCAGAGAGCAGAACGTGCGCAGTGAGGTCACTCCTCTCCACGCTGCCTATCTGAGCCCAGAGTGTGTTGATACCTGAGACTCAGCAGAGGTGGGAGAAGTACACAGTTCTTGTACTCGAGTAAAAGTAGAAGTACCAGTGTAGGAATACTCTGTTACAAGTAAAAGTACTGCAATCTAAATGTTACTCAAGTAAAGTACAAAAGTATGACCATCAAAATATACTTAAAGTACCAAAAGTAAAAGTAGGCTACTCATTATGCAGATTGGTCCAATTCAGAACTACATATGTTTTGATTATAATCATTGATCATTAAAGTGTTATCAAAGCTGGTAAAGGTGCAGCTAGTTTAAATTACTTTGTATACTGCAGGGTAGCTTGTGAATTTACTCCAGTCTTATTTAAGTGTTGATTATAATTCACATTATTAACTCAAGTTTGTAAAGCAACTAAAGGTATTAAATAAATGTAGTGGAGTAAAAGTACATGATTTACCTCTGAATTGTAGTGGGGTAGAAGAAGTACAAAGTAGCATAACATTTGAAATACTCAAGTAAAGTAAAAGTATCTCCAAATTGTACTTAATCAAAGTACTTATGTAAACCCACCTCTGAGATTCAGTGATAAGAGACAACATGGAGGAAAGGCCCCTGACAGCATCTCTGAATTGTATAAAAGTCATGAAAAGAATAAAGCAAATGAAAAAATATAGCAATTAAATGAAATAGTATCAGAATCAGAATACCCTTATTCGTCCCACAAAAGGGGACATTTACATTGTTACAGCAAAAGTGAAGATGAAATTAAAAAACACTTAGATAATACTGTTAGTAGTACTGCAGACATGTCACCACATGCATCAGAAAGCACCATACTCACTGTGCATGGCTGGATGCCTGATGGTAGCAGACACCCCATTAATATGACTAGCATTACATTCACATACGTAACCATACTGTTCTTATGAAAAAAAATAGAAGATCTTTGAAAAACCTGAGTTGTTGAATAGTGCAACAGGCACTTTTTTGTTATTGTTGACTCAAACAGCGTCCAGTTTTCCCATAAGGGCTCACCAGTAGTGCACTGCATAACATTTGCTCCACTGGATTAAAGAGCATTTCATGTTTTCTCCACTGGATGGGCAGTTGATCTTTCTTTCTCCAACTGAAGGGCACCTTGGAGTGTGTTGGATGGCATTTAAAGAAACAAAACCCTTTATCCCTGGAAATGCTGTGAGAAATGGGTAATTAACAACTATATATTTTCTTGACCTTTGAAACTGTTATTGACAAAACGGTATTCAATAGTCGAAGTCTTTTTAGTTTAATCTTCAGCTCTGTTGTATCAGACAAACGTCCTTTGCTTAGAATGAGCCCAGTACCTAAATCAGCTTTTGACAAAACAATCTCAACACAGACCGTTTAGTAGATTTAACTTATTTTTATTGTTTTATACATAAAATGTATTTCACTCCAAAAATATCATGGACTTTTTTGGGTGATGTAAAGTAATATTTAAAAAAAAATACACTTCTTTTTTTAAATCTTCCAATGCTAGATGAATACAGCACAGATGCCCTATCTCGCAATATTGAGAATTAAACAATGCGTGTCCGCCCCGTGATTCGGATCAGCTCCATTAAGAAATGGGTTCTTCCCAGAGACTGTGTATGAATGTCCTTCCTAGGGGCCATGCTACACCCTTCCACTATCAACATGGGTTTTGTTCTGTAAACCTGATGACAAACAAAAAAAGACAAACCAAGCTGTAAACATACCCTCCTTGGCGGGAGGTAACAAAGAACACAGACACGGCATAGTTTTTAGGGGTTTAATGGGTGTACGGATTCATTTAAAGGAAGTGATAAACACATACAAAAATACCCTTTCAATACACTTTAGAAACAAACATCTAAATGAACTGTTTTGTTAAATTTGTCCAAACAGCAAAACATGAGTTGTCTGAAACAGAGTGGTGCAGCTTTCATTAAAAAGAGACCTACCGGCTATGAATGCTATTAAAAAAAAGATCACATGGTACAAATATGCAAATATAAATAAAGTGATAAGAAAAAACCCCAATAATGAAGAATATGCCTTTTGAAAAAACAGTTCTCTGTACATTGAAGGGGAAACTGATGCTGGAAAAAGAGCCTGTGTCCCTGTGTGTCTACCTGCTCTGAAGGAGAGGGCGCCTCGTCAGCATCGCTTTATACTTTGTTACTGTATATCTTCTGTTCTGAAATCAAACAGTCACTGAGTTTCAGACCGGAAAGATGGAAGGTCGGGGCCTAAGGCAGGAAAAGAGTTGTCTCCTGACCCCCCCCACCCGTGGCCTCAGGAGATGCCTTCTTAAGAACCTCCACAGGAGGCGCAGAGGGTTAACACCCAAAACGAAGGGAATTCCGTCTTTCTCCAACACATTAACAACCATCGATGCATGCACGCTCACACACGGTCAACCACATGCACACACTCGCCAACCAGCTCAAATCATCAAAAAGCTTCAAACCATTGTTTTTTTTAACAAAGCACGACAAACTCTTCCATAGATGCAAAAACAACCAGAACTTCGCTTTACTAGCAGACCAAGGTAAACTGGTGAGGGTGTAGGAGGGGGGGGGGGGGGGGGGGGGGGGGGGGGTCAAGCAGTATCAGCCGTTTAGCCTTCCCGACGGACAGGAAATTCGTTTTTAGTTCGGACAATCACTGGTAGGCCTACGTACATAAAACTGATATTCAAACACTTTCTTGTGACCGTCTAAAGTGTCCAGCACTCGCTTGTTTGTGTCAACCTCGCCTATCCCGACATCCAAGAGCTCGAACACACCAGGAGAAGTAGGCAGAAAAACGTGTCAACCTTCTAATCCAAGACATACAATTGGCGTTTGACACTTAAACTACACTGAAAAGAATGATTAGCGTGGCATCATCGACATGGTTCTGTGCTAATCCTTTAGAGAACTAACCAATAACCGAAAAGCTTCAGAACCAATTTCACCACTTCAAGGAAATTGTTCCTGTTCTTGTAAGGGAGGTTTTTTTTACGGACACCTGAGGAGCACTCGGCGTCTACGATCACCTACACACTGCAAATCCAATACCAACCTGGAGTCCTCTTTGGGCGGTCGTGGTGCTTCCAAAGAGTCGTAGTTGTGATATCCGTCATATCCAAGCAAACCCTCAATAAAGCCTCCCCCGCAACTGTATCCAAACCTATACAGTGTTTACAAAAAAATATCCAGGGGCTGGGAGAGGTCTTTTTTGGACAAGCAATAGAGAAAAACAAAACAAAAATTACAATTTTTTTAGAACTTTTTTTTTTTTAGACATTTTTAGATAAAACTACAATAGAATGGTCAAAAGACTTAACAGGGATCTTTTGCTTTTTTTTAAGACAAAAAAAGTTATGTACATCAACATTTACTGTACAGGTTTCTGTTCAGGAGAAAAGAAAAGAAAAATAAATCAGCATACACTAGAAGTGTGTGTAGCAAGCGTTCGATAAAGGTTCTGGGCTGTTTTAAAACGCAAAAGAAAGAAAATGAAAAGAAGAACAGCTAAATTTTCATCTGTTCTGTGTACTTTTTTTAAACACAGAGGGGAGAAGACTAGTAAAAAAAACGGTCGCTTAAGGTCTTCGATAGTGTTGTGTTTAAATGCCCTCCGGCTGTGAGCGTGATAGAGGGCGCTCACAACATCTGGTTTGACCAAAATCACCTATCCTGGCAAATCTGTAACCTCTGAAGAGTGGAGGTGAGCTGTCCGTTCTGCTGCTTCACACATGAGATGTGACCTGAACACACTCCCGGCCCCCGTGTGAAGTCATCTTCTCGCTGTTTTGACTTAACGTTCAAGCCCCAACTCTGTATGTATATGAATCCAGTCTATAGTTGTTGTGTTCAAGCTATGTGGATTCTGGCCTTTTCTGTTTCTTTCAGCCTCTTGGCCTGCTCCTCCAGCGTGGGGGAGTGGGCTCTCTTGGCGGTTGCTCCGTTCAGGGGGTCGGCCCCTCGGCTCACTAATGTTGGGATGGAGCTGCCGACGGGGGTCACCGCCTGTTTGGCTGCCACGTGTTCTACAGAGGGAAAGAGATGGACTGTTAATTTGGAGCCTTCAGTCAAAACATATTATAAGTTTACCATGGTAACATGTCTTAATGAAATTATAGTAAGGGTGTCACCGGCCAATATTTGACAGTCAAATCAGGTCAAATCTGGTCAATGCTTGCCTATCAGAGACAGATTGTCAAAAAAACTTTTTTTTCCCCCTCCTTGATCCCGGTTTAGCTTTATTCGTCTCTAGAAAGAATTTGAATAGTGAAAAACGGGATGGGCATCAAAATCCACTTCCTAGTTAGGTTTGAGTAACTGTACTGATCATCATTTTTGAAAAAACGTTTGTCGCACGTAAACAAGGCATTGAGCATGAATACGTATAAAAGTAAAAGTTGTGTGATTCATTGGAGATGTATGCCTTTGTGATAATGGAGTCCTATAATCGAATATCTCCAACATGTATGCACAATGATGAAACCCCCACACACTGTATTGTATGTTTCGCCCCACATTTCTTCCTGATAATGCTACATTGTGAACAATGCTAGCTAACGTCGCTGTTGGGAGACGGTGGGCAGCAAAGTCTTGTTTGACAACAAATAATTAATAGAATTTCCAATATGTTCTATTTCGTAAAAAAGACTGTTGGGTGAAGGACAATTATCATTTTGAACATTTGTATTCAATCAGCACAAAGAACATCTGACTGAAAGTGGTATTAACTTTACAACCACATGCTATATGGACGATTCAAACTATTATTTGGTATGATTCCCTGAACAAAGTGAATAGCACCTTGATAAATGAACAGAACTGATAATTGACTGTAAGGGCAGTTATACACTCACTTGAGCCAATGACAGGAATGGACATGCCCTTCTCTTCGTCGGCAGGGGGAGCGTCAGTGGTGAGGGTGCCCTCGAACACTGGGGGCTTGGGAGGTGTGATGCTACAATACAATGAAACACACAAGGAAAGAATATAAGTGTTAAAACATTAGAAAGTCAGACTTTATTGCTGTGACTATGTTGGAAAGAAATGTGAACGCTCACTTGTGGCGGTTGAGAGCCAGTTTGATGGAATTCTTCACGACGCGACAACTGTTGCTCGCTGGGAGAGGCGACGAGGCGTCTGGCAGCTCCATGCTGGGAAGTCTCTGAGGGAGGAAATAACGTCATTAGAATTCAAAACATACATTTATTTTAAAAGTATTTAATATCTGCTTTAACAGAACACATGTCCAGATAGAGAAATAAATATCCAACGTTAAGCAAATATAAAAAGAGCCGCTACCTGTGTTCTTGAGGTATCAATGGTTGGAATGGGCTTAGCCTTTGATCCAGTTTGCTAAAGGTGAAGAGAGACAACATTTGAAAGTGTTCATTTTCTTAGCCATTACACATGCAATAGAAGCAGGCACAGTAAATGACACCTACAGCATTGGGTCCTTCTCCGTGTGAGTCAGAGGACGGTGGATATGGTTCTTTAAATGCAGAGTCATCATTGGGCACCACCTGCAAAAGAAAATGTCACAATTTTAATCTGGCAAAAAGTTTAAATCCAGCAACAAATATATTCCACACACACACACGCTCCTTACCTCTGCTTCTTTGGGCCTCTTGGCCAGGTCCTCTTGTGTCGGGGAGTGGGGTCTCTTGGCAGCGGCTCCGTTGGGGGAGTCCTCCAGGCCGTTGTTGGGCTCCTCTCGGGGGCTGCTGGTGGCGTCGGGCAGCACGTCCTCCATCAGCGCCGCAGAGACGGAGCTGCTGGGGGGGGGAGAGGCAGGCTTTGCTTTAACCGCAGGTTCTGCAGAAAAAAAGAAGACGGAGAAATTAGATCAGGATCATATGTTCGCGTTTTTGACACCCATTTAGGATGCTTTGAACATCAACATACCTGTGCTTATTTAAGACTGTTCACACATTTGAAAGAGTTTGTTTGGTATGTGATATTATTATATACTGGCTGGGTAATGAGAATGTCAATTATGCCTTAGGACTCTCACTAATTAAGGGATGGGCAATATAATTAATAAATTATTAAATAAATAATAAAAAGATCATAAAAAAGCCCAAACCATTGCCTGCTCACAGTCATTTTGAGATTTCTTTTTAAATGCGTGAATAATTATTACATTTGAATAAAATGTAATACATTTCCAAAGACAAATGACTTCAAACATCAAAGGGTTATATTATTTTAGAGAATATTGAAAGAAGTATATCCTCTATATTGTAAAGGCATTATTGTTTAAAAGCAGTATAGCCCAGCCCTGATTATAGTGAGTATCTGTGTAATTGTCAATGGGGAAGAAGTACTCACTTGAGCCAATGACAGGAATGGACATCCCTTGGTCTGTAGCAACAGTTGCGGTTGCAGTTGCGGTTGCAGTTGCCGTTGGAGTTGCGGTTGCAGTTGCGGTTGCAGTTGCGGCTGCAGTTGCTGCTGCCGTTGGAGTTGCTGCTGCGGTTGCCACTGGCGCTGCAGGTGTTGCTGGTGATGCTGTCGCTGCGGTCGCTGCACTGGGAGCTGGAGAGCCCTCCACGAAAAGCTGCTTTGGGGGGCTTACGCTGCAAAATCAACAAGACCGAACACATTTGATCAGCATCATATTGTGTATTTCAGCCTGTATAAAAGCATTGATTGCAATTGAAAAGGCTAAACGGCATGAGATAAAACGTAACAATAAACTGCGCTAGAAGTGAAGAGCTGCGTCATACCCGTCATCTGTGTCAGACGCAGGCTTGGCGGGCTTGCTGCTGGGGGAGGTGAAGGGGGTCCCCGAGTCCGTGTCTCTGGAGCTGTCCAGGTGGCTGCTGTCCAGAGAGAGGCGCTTAGAGCTGCCCCCGTTAGAGCTGCGGTTCAACTCTGCTATGCTCTGCAGAGGAAAATAATAATACAGTCAATGATGATGATAGTTAAAATGATGATTATGGGTTTGTCTCAACATGCATAGGAAGATAAATCACCCTCTTCTTCTTCTGCACCAGTTCTGGGGGAAGGTACTGATGGAGCTGTTTCTTCTTCACGTGTGTCGCTTCGATCTTCATCCCATCCTTCAGCATGTTGATGTTGTTGGCCTGTCGGTACACTGCAGAGAACAACATGTTGTGGTATGGGTTATTATTTACTGGCATGAAACTATACATACGTTTGACTTTTTATTCAAGCGATTTCTGGCAATTTCTTGGTGTTGTGATACTACAGGACCTACCGGTGTCTGTGAAGGACTGGATGTCGTACGTCAGGTCAATGTTCACACTCTCCGCATTCTCCACTTTCTTGAAGATGATCCCGATGAACCACATGGACACAAAGTCGTTCCTGTTACAGAAACACACAAGCAGTTAGTCATACCTATTTTGTTGCATCAATGCTCCCGTCCATGTATATGCAAGCATTATAAAATGATATTGATGTACATCTAAAGATACATTTTTACAGATAAAAAGAAAAAGAAACAGCTCATGTAAAAGAATGCATTTTTACGATTGGAATAAATCGTGTATATTCCAAGTGAGACACAGACACGTGTCATATGAGAGGTTGCCAAATCGCATTAGATTGTTAGTTTTGGCCTTTTAATATTTATAGTAGAGTTGAGTTGGTCAAGCCACTAGACTTCATGACTCATTGAAAAATAACTCGCATATGATAAAACAGGCAACATGGTCTGTTCACTTAAGGGCTAAAAAAAACATGCCAATTGACCGTAGCTTTGATTCATGACTGGCAGGATTTGCTTTCACTCATACATTCATATTCACAGAGCAGTTTGCATGTATGGATTAGATCTGAACTCACTCGTTGCGGTTCTCCTTGGACCCGGGGAAGGACTGGGGGTTGACATGAGCCAGGGTGATGTACTCGTTCCTCTCCAGGTTTCCCACCAGAACGCGGATCTTGGACTCCACCAGACCGATCCTGAGGGAAATAACATCAGGTTGTATTTACAGAGTTAGCGATAACAAAACCAGTTATCCTCACAGCGTTGCGGTCTCACTCCGACACTTACCATTCCAAGTGGTTTTCTTCTGTGGAGGCACTGGCAGTCAGAACGATGTAATGCCTGCAGAACACGACAGAGAAAATCAGACAAGATGCAGAGTAACTGAACACAACACCCTCTAAGACATAACAATGAGTATATATGGACTTGCAGCGCCATGGGAATGTTTGCTATATCCTATGCTAATGTGGTGGAGTAAAATGTTAAAGTAGAAAGTACAACAGTCTTTGAGTAAATGTACTTAGGTGCTTTCCACAACTGTCCATACATAACTAATGAAAACTTCACTAAATACAATACATGTTTGCGTCTTGTATAATTCTACATGAACATTCAAATAATGAAATAGTGTTATCAGCAGTATTTCTTCTTTAAAACGTTTCAATTCGATGTGCCACACCAGCACTCAGGTAATGTAGCTGCAATGGTGAAGCAGCAGCACCAACAGAACAGGGCAGTTGTGGTTCTTGTGTGGGAAGAAACTCTCATAAACAAACTTTACTGACCACAGCTCGGATGAGTCAAATGTGCCCAAACCCAAAAAGTGAAAACAATAAGTTGCATCATCCAATTTTTGTTCGAACTGCATAGTATGGTAGGGCGCTGCAATTGATTGAAACGTTAAAAATGTTTTGCTACGACTGCAGCATTATGAGTTTCTCTGGTATTCGCAACAATAGTCAAAACAATAGCATTTACGTTTTTTTAAATCTATGGCCTGCCAAATAATGTCCACATAACTTAATGCTTGCTTTTTTCAATACGTGAACAAATACAGACATGTTAAAGACTTTTTACCCATGCCATATGAGACACATGTAGCTCTGTTTGCTTGGCTTGCTGTTGTAGATACAATATTCCATCAATACATCCTTTATGTGAAAGGAATCAACACCTACTTGTACTTTTGGAAGAAGTTGGGAGGCTCAAAGAGTTTGGACCATTCTGTTTTTCCCTGAAGAATCTCATCTGTGACGCTGAGGCCTGTTAATGTCAGACACGTGGGAGAAAGATATCTCAGACATTCAAAGTGACACTGTTACTCAAAGGAACCTAATTGTACTGTTAAAATTAGGCACGATATGAGATGTTCAGAACTGGTAGAGTAGGTAGATATTTGATGTGTTGTCTGTATTACCGTATTTGAATTCCTCGCTCATGATGGTGCGCGTTGACGAGGAGACGTTGTAGGTGGAGTTCTGCTGGGGGTAGGCGGGGGTGATGATGGGCATCAGGTGGTATCTGTCAGACGGGTTCACCTAAAAACACAGGGATTGATTTGGCTGCAGACATGAGAGACTTCTCTAACACCACCCACCACTTTCAATGTGTAGGGAAACTCTACACCCACACACTGTAAAGCACCAGACACATCCCACACACAGGGAACCTCCCAATCCACCTTTATGCTCTTCGTGTTTCCCTTATTTGCATTTTTCCAAACAAAACAAGGAGAATTGAAGGAAACTTGACGTGACGTGCTTCCCTTTAAAACATTATGTAAAAGCATCTGTCAAATTGGATTTTGGATCTGTAGCTTGTAACGGAGCTTTAGCCTCTTACCTTGAAGTACTTTTCTTAACAGATATGTAAGCCAAATCACCCAATTTAGCCATTTGATTATGAAGTTATCCAATTGGACAAACTATTTGAACTGCATGATCACATTGAGCTTTAACATCATGTGAAAACATCTACATCAAACCTGTTTTAAACTGTGTACTGGCCAATTACAAGCTTATTTGTATTTATCTTAATAATAAATCCAGGCTCTGTTTAAAAAAAAAAGGAACAATGTGAGAATGCCTTTTCACTAGACTTTATTTTGAAGGGCTTTTTGACAGCAACTTTACATGCGTTTTAAATCATTTTTGCCTGCAGCAAAAGCCTTTACCATGCAATGATTTACTTCCTCACTTTAAGATCATGTTGAGCATGATTCATAGTTCAGAAAGTATGTATAGAAGCCTAAACATTAAGGAAACTATTACATTTTATATGAGCTACTTTCTGCCCAATGCACGATAATGGTTGGCCGTACTGTGACTGAACGGAAACAACAACAATAGATAATTCAAACGTGTTTATTGCTTAATAGACACAGCAAACTTGACACAGCATTTACAGCATTTAAATGTTTTATATTAAGGATATAGATTAATTAGTTTAGGATAAATGTATGATATTGTAAAAAAAAACAGTAAAAGCAAAACTAATGTATCAATGCACTAGCGTAGGAGAAAATATTTAAAAGAATATCCTGCATAAGATAGTGTATTCATATGTGCACACAGGCTATGGACTGCAGTGTTTATTACGGGATTTGAACACAATTTCAGATCTTTTTTGCTTCTCAATTACTAAAGCACTTTTGAAGAAGTGTGTCTGATAAAAGACGTCCATGTAGGAAATCTTCCTTGCTCCAAGCTGCTCTTGGAAGCCTCCTCCGAGGACAACATTGGAACTCATGGTAGAGGAAACATTTCCATGATGACAGAGGACTAAGGATACTTGAAATAGGATAAAAAAGGTTTTTACCTATGCTTTGTCTGTTGATGTAACACTAAAAAAACTCACAATTTAGCAGAATAAGTCCAGGTTGTGTGTCCTACGACTACACAGCAGTACACATACAAAAAAAAGGCATAACATCATAATCATCAATACACTGGTGTCATACTCACTCTAGGATCCCACACAGGTAAATTCAGATTACTGTCCTCAGGCTGTTTCAAAAGCACAGGATTTGGCCACTCCCTAGGATGCAAATGAAAATAGTAAAGTGTGTAAATATTCAAAACACACTGATGACTGGACAGGGCTATGAAACACTGCCATCAAGTGGAAAGCTACACACTCACCACTTGGAAAACACCAAGAAGAACTTGTGGACCAGCGTGGCGGCCACGGCGTTGGGGTAGAGCTGGCAGGTCCTGGCCACCAGCATGGCCCACGACACTCCACCCAGGAACCCCAGCATGTTGGAGTAGATCCCACGACCTGCAGGCGAAGGTGGAGACCATTTATACTTTTTGGTGTTACCCCAAAAGATGAGCAGCGGTTTGTCAAGTATACACTCAAATGGAAGCAGAACATTTGAATGCACTCACGTTTTGCCCAGAGTTTAATGGCTCTCAATGTCAGTCTGAAGTTCTCTTTGTTTGGCACCAGGTACAGTATTTCATCAGTTACACGACAACCTGCAGAAAAGGCATTAGAAAACTAAATAGATAGAAGTATTACACTCCTGCATACATTGTGTTTATGCCAAGTATGGAAAGTGTTAAAAGGGTCCAAACCACCTGCTGCAAGTGTGATGCACTATAAGCTTAATCTACTTTTGCAACAGCATCAGTCCTCAATTCATTATCATCTCTTCTCTTTTGAATGCAATAGAGTCCATGTAGCGTACCATTAAGGCTGCGGATGCACCGTATGTCCAAGTTTCTCAGGATGGAGTCCCCCCTCAGGTCCAGGTTGTCTGGAATGGACTGTAAGGCCAGTCTGGCAAAAAGCAGATCAATCTGCACAGAGAGGAAAGTATTAAAGTATAGTATTAAGGACTTTAAATTGCCCAACTCGTATCTAGACACACTGGGTAGTACAAATATGTAACAGCGAACTACAAGGCACAAAAATTTATTTTATTTGGATCATATATATAAAAAAAAAAATTGGTTGAACTTTGTTTCTTGGGGGACAGGAAAGAAAGTTCAAAGATGTGGTTCAAGATGAGCTTTTAAATGATTAAGAAATATTGTTTTAATTATGAAGAAAGGGACAATAAAAGTACAATTGGCAGATCGAAGAATAACAGAGGTTCCAAATGCAGACAGACAAGTGCAATGGCGGTTTCATAAGGGGTTGTTTGGAAAGGGCAGACGCCTTACCCCTTCATTTAGCTTATTTCTATAGAATTGCTGTTCCAAACTATTTCACCATCAACACCGTGCTTCCTTGGGTATTAATCTGTACCCATTTTTCTGATGAAGTTCTCAACAAAAACATATTTGTATGTTATTGTAATGGACAGCTACAGCTGACAGGAAGTCATCTTTCAAATCACTGTCTTGCCAATGTCTTTACTACACTTACACATCTATAAAAGCTTTGCCAGAATGGTAATTTCTGAGAAGTATGCCTGTCGTTATGCAATACCCCTGTATGAATTCAACAGTTGCATCTCAAAGTGACTTACCTCTATTCCGTCAAATTTGAATTTTATCACCGGTACAAAGGCATCCTCGACAGCCTTGAGAAAGCAACAAAAAAGACAATATTAACAACACATCTGAGAGAATGTATAGTCGACTGACATCAACATGATCAACAAGTGAAAATCAAAGTCGAGAAAACAGAGCTTGTAAAAAGACATGTCAAATAACTAGGTGACATCAAGATGTCTTTGGGGATCTGGGTGTGTTCAAATCAATCATCACCTCCTCCTTACAATATCCAATAAACACATGTGTAACCCTTTTTCACCAAAGGCTCCAACAGCTTTCATTTTGGGATATCAAATTAGAATAGTTTTTACTTTAAACTGCACGTTAACACTTAAACATAGCATCTAAATTTGGTTGTTCCAATAAAAAATGAATTTAGTGTCATAACAAATACAAACTGAAAGGGGTGTACATATTGTTTCATCATTTATATTGATGCCAATTAAGACACACACCTTGGGAAATTAACATTAGGAGCAGACCTTACAACAACAAGGCTAATGCTCTTGGGTATTGCGCTCTGCTGAGGGTTCATTCATTATAACGCTCCAATGTATTCAGCCAAAATAAAGTGTCTCGGCTTTCAGGATATAATTGAGGAATATTAAGCAATGTTAGGTTTTGTTATGCATTTTGAATTCCACAGTTCTCACTCGGGAGCGGTGATGTAAGTAGGCAAGTTGCTTTTGCACTATTTGCAAAGAATGTTTTGAACTCGGGAATGAAACATGGGCTTCCTCCACAAGGAAACGGCCAGACATGCGACAGAAACTTACCCTCAGGTCTTTGATCTCTTCGTGCTGTTTGAATTTCTCAAAGAAAGATGAGAAAAAGTCACTTCTTTCTACATGGCGTGGAGCCACACACAAGGCATCAATATCAGCTCCTGTAAGAAACAGTCACTTTCAGAAGAGTATTCGACGCTGCCCACTGACCAGTAGGTTAAAGGGATTATGAATTTCATAACAATCTGATAAATAAACTGATTAAAGTTTCGGCAGTCAAGGTTAAAGAGAGTTTGTGTTATAAAACAACACGAAGAGTAGCTCAAGTGAAGTGCAGCAACCTTAGAATGTAGTAATGTGCCTGGCCTTGCTTTGTACAGTCAAAGCTGACAATGTTTCAAGGATTCGATTTTTTAAAAATTAAATAAAAGACAAGATGTTTATTTCTAGACAATGATATCCTTAAGTAAACCCTGTAAAAAGGCAGGTAAATAGGAAAAATAGAAAACCTTTTTAAGATGTTTGTAAGACTACAGGTGAGTGTCTATCTTCCACCTTTTGTGCCGCCACCATATCCATTTCTCTACACTAAAGCTTGTACATCTTCAATGGTCTCAAATTCTGCTTTGATAAAAGAAATCCTGACAAATCCAAAAATAATTGTGAAGTCAAATCAATGTAGTAAGGGTCCTTATAATTAGGTTTTAGTATTTACTGTTACATATATATTTATATTCTGCAATCAATGAAAAATGTTGAAATGCATAACATAGGCTAGTCTGTACAAAACCAGGGAAAGGTATGAATTACAATTGCTCACTAACTTTTAACATGTTTGAATCAATTACGCCATAAAAAGCGTACAGAATTTTGAATAATTAACTGACTTTTCTTTTAACCTCGTGCTTTAGTGTGGTCTTGACCAGACTGAACTGATTTTTCTTCCGGGAAAAGAGTGTCCCACTCTTGACCTAACAATCAACATCGGCCCTCTGTTGTTTCCCCGACTCAGACTGCAAGGAATCTGGGTGTGACCTAGGGCTGAACGATTAATCGATTTTAAATCGAAATCGCGATTTGAACCGATGCAATTATCAAATCACAAAGCCTGCGATTTTATTTAACTTTTTTTTTCTTGTGTGTCAGTCATCCACACCAATCAGAAGTGCTGTGCTCCACATGTACCAGCCATTGTTAACCAATCAGAAGTGGCCCATGATAGAAGGTGATGGCAGGTGATTGGATCAATCTGTCTAAGTATTTTTGAAAGTGCCTGCCCTTTCCAAATGGCTTCCAATGGAGCTTTCCTAGATGGTTTGGTGAAACAAACCATCTGAGTCAGGTTAGTAATGCTCCATCACATGTTTTACATCTATTACAGGGTGAATCTTAAACTGAAGCTTGACTTTAAAGCAACCCAACGGAAGCTTCATGTAAGTTTAGTTCTTTCACTCGTAGCTCGGGCTGCGGGGGTGCTAGAGACGGGAGCATGTTGATGCGACCTTCCTAGCCGGAGACATGGCCGCATTTTACAATAAACTTCCGTTGGGTCGCTTAAAAACAAATATTGCAAATCGAATCGCTATATTTTTCAGAAAAATCGCAATTCGATTTTTCCCCAAAATCGTGCAGCCCTAGTGGGTGTGACCCTAAATAACAAACTGTCCTTCACTGCAAACATCGCTGCTACAACCCACTGCTGCAGATACAGTCTCTTTACAACATCAGGAGGATACGTCCCCTCCTGACCCAGAAAGCGACGCAACTTCTGGTCCAGGCTCTCGTCATCTCACGCCTAGACTACTGCAACTCCCTCCTGGCTGGTCTACCTGCATGTGCCATCTGACCTCTGCAGCTCATCCAGAATGCAGCGGCTCGTCTGGTCTTCAACCTTCCTACATTTTCCCACACCACGCCGCTCCTCCGCTCACTTCACTGGCTTCCAGTAACTGCAAGAATCCATTTCAAGACACTGGTACTAGCGTACCATGCTGTGAATGGATCTGGCCCTTCCTACATCCAGGACATGGTTAAACCATACACCCCAGCACGTGCACTCCGCTCTGCATCAGCCAAACGGCTCGCTGCACCCGCACTGCGAGGGGGACCCAAGTTCCCATCAGCAAAAACACCTCGGTTTGCTATCCTGGCTCCAAAATGGTGGAATGAGCTCCCCATTGACATCAGGACAGCAGAAAGCTTACACATCTTCCGGCGCAGACTAAAGACTCATCTCTTTCGACTTCGAGCAATAGAATTACTATCAAAGCACTTATATACTAACAAAGGACTGGCTTATCTAAAGCTAGTTGAGTAGCATTTGAAATGTTTTGGTTCTATGAAACCTGATGTACTTATATGATTCTGTTTTCTTCAAGTTTGTATCTTCTTATTGTAAGTCGCTTTGGATAAAAGCGTCAGCTAAATGCAATGTGGTCAGGGTGAACTGAACTTTTCAAAAACAAACAGATACGCCTGCTTAGACAGGGTTGACTGCTGTGTCGCAGTTATGTTCTGATAACTCAATCTCTCTTTGCTCCTTTTGAATACCAATATAGCCAAGCATAGTACAAATGTTGAAATCAAAGTTGATGGATGATGTCTCCGCAATGACTTGACATACCTTTTGTGTGCACTCCAAGTCTGTATGAACCAAATGTAAATATCTTGCCCCCAACACAGCTTATAGCTGATGGTGGGAGGTTCTGTGGAGAGAAGGATAAACATTGAAATCAGTATGATGTCGTTTGATCATTAGGGCAAAACCATGGATAGCTTTGGTGTCTCTGAATTAATAGTCACCATTAAGCTAAAAGACTCCATAATACAACATAAATCATATATTTTACTTGGAAGGCATTCGACAGAACCCACCTTTAGTTCACTGATCTCTGATATCCATTCTTTAACAAAGTTATTCAACTTCCCAAGAACGGCAAGTCTAAAAAAGAACAACAACATTTTAGTGGGGGCAATCATATAGTGAGAAGGAAAATTATACCACAACTTCACAAATTAATTTGGCCTAAACATGTAGATTCAAACATAATACTATGAAATGTATGCACTCAAGATGCCTAGTAGTGTTATGGCTAAAATAAAATTAGACTATTTTTCTTACCTATGGTTCAACTCCTCTTCATCTTCAAACACCCCAAATGGTTTCATAGCATCACAGAGCTTCTTGGTGTACTGGTGGTCTATTTCTCGTGGGGGTGCAAGGCTGATGGCAGAGGTGATGCCATAATGTTTCTGAGGCTGCTGCCCACCAGGCATGGCGCTGCAAAAGAGGTCACGACAAGGGAATAGGAGTCAAAACATGAAATGACAGCTACTACACGACACTGTCCATGTTCGTTTTTTCATGCCAGGTTTCAAAGTTAAGACGAAGGAATGCATCATTCACATATTGTGAGTGCAATGCTTTGCTAGTTTATGTTCCCCTGCTTTATATTATTACCGCGAACCTGTGTAATGCAGCAATGTGCTTAACTTTGAAGTCAAAAGGGGAGCACGTTATCAGAGGAAGATATATCCATGTTATCTGAACAAAGACTTGGAATTAGTCTGCAAAGCAAAACTGGGTGGATTCAGATAACAGTTCGTTGTACACAATATTGAATGAGAATGTAAACTTCACGCCACAATAACAGTTGAGTGTAGTTTAATAATCTGTTCTTCATTCGACCCTAGTCTCGTTTAGGCATTGGATTAAAACATAGGATATGGTGTTTTTAGTTTATTCAATAATGTCAGGACCGTCCCGAACCTGTATTAACTTAACGAGTTTAGCATTTTAGTGTTTACTTAAAGAATCCCAAGTCCAACACTACTAAACGACCGATTTAAATGAAGTATCCACCCCGGATTTCCCACCACAATAACATAACACCACGCGTGTTAATGATAGCATAGTAGTGAGCAATTCCAAATCTGAAAAGTGAGTTTATCGAAAATACAGGCATGAGTTTGAAGTGATTTACGTTAATGTTGGTATTCAGGCTGGCGGCGAACGAGCGTTAGCCGAGAGGCTACAAACAGGTTGCAGGCGCTAACAAATTAGCTAATTTAGCAAGTTAGCAAACGTTAGCTTGCTGCTACGGAAGAATTTGTCTAACTAACGACTCGCTTTCCGGTTAGTCCTAATTAAGGGTTGACATTTTATCAAACAAAAACACGTGCAATCCGTTCATTTTGATGGTCATAGTCCCACCATAGTTAAGAAACAACAAACAAGCGCGCTAGCCAACAAATGGTGGCTGCAGGCCTTGTTTGGTTGTTGTGACAGTTGGCTAACGTTAGCCTTTAGCCTATTCTTTAGGACTCTCTTAAACGCGAACAAAGATGCTCATGAAAGGAAAATGTACCGTATGCATGACTTACCTTGACATTTCTTTCATGACACTCTAAAAAGCTTGCACTGTTTTTCTGCTGTAAACCCGTAAAAAACTAAGAAAGCCAGCAAGTGGAAATGATAACAGCCTCGACCTGATTACAACAATGGTCACTTTGGAGCAGTTCAAACCTTCCCACTGAACCGGAATCACTTCTTATAAAATAACGTATGAGCAGCACGCAATCCTGCGGGGATATTCATATCTAATTCATTAACAAAACGCACAGTATTTTTGGAAGGTAGCACCTGACATGCGTTTAATAGCTAGTGTAGACTTTTTCTTTACTCAAAACTACAAATGTAACGGCATTTGTGTTCGCGCAGCACGCTGAGCAACCATCGTCAGAAGGCAGGCACCTCCTATCACGTGACCACCGAGGCCTCAACACAAGCTCTATACATGCTCTATACAAGCTAGCTGCACACACACTGCGCCGTGTTACACACCTGTAAACACGCTGGGTTTGAAGAAGCTAAATACAACATATGTCGAAACAATTATAATAAATTACTTAAAATAAACGCTTACGTTGAATACTTAGCTGAGAGGATACGTTGGCCAAATGTAGCAATATAATGATAATGTCTGTATGTTAGCTTGTGACAATTCAAATACGTTGTGTATTTTAAACATTGGAACTGTCCAAGTCATACCATTGTTAAAATGCATAGATATATTACATTGTCTTTGAATCCTGTCCCTGATACCTGTAAATAATAAGGAAAGATTGTAAGGCCCACATATTTTTTCTCTCCATGTTTTTTTGTGAGAATATGTGGGTTTGGTCTTAAATGTCTGACTATCATTTACTTTATCAGCAATGTTTATCAGTAAAGATAAAAAAGGAGTTGGCACTAGAAAGTTTGTGACATAGTGACACAGTGGAATTAATTTTACAATTAAGGTGCAAACAATAACTTAACAACAATATTAATCTATTTGTTGTAACAATACGTATTAAAATATTGAAAACAAATTATTGGATAAAATGTCAATATTATTTTTGAGGACAAAAGCATTTTTTTAAACTTATAATACTTTACAGAGGCTATTATAATATAAAATAAAATAAAATTGACCTTTATTAATCCCCGTGGGGAAGGACAGCACAGATTCACACAGATTAGAGATTAATACAATCAAAGATACAAATACAATTATATACAGTTAAGTAACTTTAAAATAAGAAATGAATTAAAATGAACATTTAAACATATTTGGGTCCTATATATTAGATATATAATATGTACATGTATGTGTGAAAACAGTGTGTATTTTATGTCCAGTATTTGTACTTATTATGATATTCTTTACTCCACAACATTTATTTGACAATTTAAGTACTTAGGTTTGAATAATGAATGCAAAAACATTTTGGATAAACTTTATACCCCTGATTCTGATATTTTGTTGCTTACACTCAATTTGGACTTTAAATTGTAACACAATATTTCTACACTATGGGATTACTACTTGTGAAAGATCTGCGTACTTCGTCCAACATTGTTGGCAACTTACTTTCAAAGGACTCTACATTTATAAAACCTCTTGCCTGAATACTGCAGCTATTTTGGTTCATGTGATCCATCGGACGTAAGACGGTAAAGAGCCTAGTCCATTGTCGATCCTACCATGGAGGCGTGGATCCTACAGATCCCGCCTCCCTTTAATTTGGCGGGAAGACCCTGCTAAAGATTCCGGTTTTCTGAAGAATGCACAGCTTTCATCTAATTTTACCAGAGCAAACAGCACCATCTAGTGGACATTTCGAGGAATTACAATGAGTGTCAAAAATAACTTAAAACGTTTTGATCACCAAGTACCAACCTTAGTGACTTCAGTGTGAACAGTCAATGTTCATAAAGGGAGTCATGGTTGGCTCAGTAAATAGTATTGTACACATTGTATCTGTGTGTTTTATTGCCCAATGTCAAAGTGTTGATGTTCTTGTCTAACAGGAATCACCCATGACTCAAGAGCCCTGTGTTAAACTACTGTATGTAGCCTATTGGCTTTTCCAATTTGACTTCATGACTGTTACAATGGATTCCTATAGGTCTGCAGAGTCACTGCAGAACAAGGCTAAGTGACTTATTATGAAAGTGCAAGCAACCCTTCTTCTGTCCAGGGAATAGAAACCCCCCACCCCCACCTTTGGACTATTCCAGCTTCTGATTTGAAAGTCTTGTATCAGTCACATTGTTTACATTCCTTGTCAAATATGACGCATTATAAAAGATCAATCAATATAACACTGTGTTTTGAATCGCTTTCCGTAGTCTTTGCTCATCATGATTTCATACCCAAATATCTAACTAAATGTGGTAAAAACATGGATGTACTCTATGCATTTACACCTAAAGGTTTATGTTTCGCCAAGTAGAAAATATTGTGCAATTATTATTATTTTTGTTTGTTTCTCAATGTTACATTTGTAATGTTGAATTTCATGGATTCTGCCTGCAGAGTCACTGCAGGACAAATCAAAGTTACTGATTATGAAAGAGCAAGCAACCTTTCATCTGTCTGAACAGAGCTCCTCCCCTTTGGCTTACTTGAACTTCTGTATTTTGGACTACTGGTATATCAGTCACATTGTTTATACTGGTCGAGGCAGCAGATTATAAGAGAAGCTTAACACTTTAGCACAAAGCACAATTAGTTTTAAAAATGAGCAGCAGTCCTCCTCTTGTGAATGTGAGAAACTGGATCACACAGAATGAGAATGCCTTTCTGCCACCAGTGTGCAACAAGCTCATGTGAGTAATTTTACTTTTATTAAAGCCACATTGTTATGTGTGTATGTTTTAACCACTTATGGAGTTCTATTGTCTCTTTGAGGGTATTGAGTATAAGCTTGTCTTTAATACCCTTTTCTTCAGGCATTTCTCCCAGTTGATTATCATGTTTGTTGGAGGTCCAAATACAAGGAAGGATTATCATATTGAGGAAGGAGAGGAGGTAACTGCTTTTTTTATTCTGCATACATTTTCTATTTCAAACATAGATGATTGGATGCTAACTTCAAAATCCTTTGAGCATCACTGGTCCCAGCCATTCCATATACTCAGTAGTGGGAGATAAGAGAGTTAACATTTTAGCCTTTGGTTGTGCTTCAAAAAGCTTCTGCCACAAAGGGCAAACTCCACCAGCCACTGTTGATTTTGACTGAAGTTTACAGGATCAAAGTACAGATGTAGCCATCTAGATGCCCATCTACCTACCGAATTCCAGCCAGAAACCTAACCAATCCCAGTGGCTGATCTATTAATGTGGACCGGAGGGAGAGGGTGACAAGCATACATTTCACTTTCCTTTTGTATTTCAATTCCAACTTTGGTGATGAAGAATATGTTTCTCTGTTGTCCACGTTCATAAAGCATAAACCAACAGCATCAGAGCGCGGTGCAGAGTCTCTAGATGAGTTTACAGTTGTCCGCCGTATAGAAAACTGTAGTTTTCCCCACAGCAGACATTCATGGCGTCCGCTGGCGCATCATAAATACGTCGGATAAGTGCAGTCGATTCTCAAAGCACTCTTCTCCTAAGTCCTTTTGAATTCTCCTATCCACTATTCCTTAACCCCGTGACGTTTCACACAGAGGTCAAGGAATAGACGATAGGAATAGACGATTAGCTGATTTTTGGACTATTTGACTGCAGCCCAGGATTTTACTATGAGATGGCGCTTCCTTCACATATAAACAGCTTACTGGGTAAACTTGGGTCTTTGTTTAGGCCTTGGTTCACACAGTAGGCCTATGTTTCCTGGACTAACAGTAGTAGTTGTTACTTCAATAATGTTTGCAGCTCCGCCGTTGTGTTTGCTGAATAGCATTTAATCACATATTTTGTATGCCTTATTTTCACAGGGAAATGTAACATATTACTTTTACAATTCAGTTTTATTTATAATATTACATACATGCTATATAATTGTTTATTTTCTACTTTTTAATTTCTAATTATGTGCAATGCCTTGTTTTTTTTATCAAATGCTGCAACGATAACAATTCCAGATTTTGGATCAAATAAAGTACATCTTATCTTAAAGGGGACCTATCATGCAAAATGCACTTTTGTACGTCTTTTATACATGAATATGTGTCCCCGGTGTTCCAGGGAACTCACCAAGTGTCAGAAAACACAACCCTCTCTATTTTCCTCCATACCCAAATCTCTAAAAAAGGGGCTGCAACGGATCTGATAAAAACTGATCCAGATTTGAACACTGTCCTGACGTCAGGACGGTGGCGCTACGGCTATTGGGCCAACTCCACCAATCAGGAGGAGACAGCCACGGCCATTGCCGTTCGAAAGCGCTGGAGACGCTGCTAAAATGCATGATCTGTTTGGTATTTTGAAAAAAAAAAAGTATAAATATGCCTTATATAGGTATGGTCCTACACTATATTATTCAAATATAGCATGATAGGTCAATTTTAAAGGTGGGGTAGGTAAGTTTGAGAAACCGGCTCGAGATACACTTTTTGTTATATTCCATGGAATGCTCTTAACATCTCGATAGCAATGAATATCTTAAGTGCTTTGACAAAAAATCCATAACAAATTTTCATCTGTGGAAGCCGTAGTACTGTAAAAAGCACGACCAATCATTTTAGCCGGCCCGGCTAAAATAACTGGATGGCCTACCTGCCTGTCAGCCTTCCATCTGTGCACAAACTTATCTCGTGCCCTCATTGGTCATGTGCGTGTTCGTGTGTGTTGGAGGAGGGGCTCTGTAAGGAAGTAACAGATTTTCTCCGGCTGTGTATTTTCAAATTCTAGCGCACTCAAGCTGGTTTCTCCAAAATTACCTACCTTTAATTGTAATTCAATAAATCTTTAATTATTTTGAAAATGGACTGTCTCCATAATGAATTAATGATGATGTCAGGTGTAATGAACTTGACACATGTATGTCAATATTGAAACTTGTGTTAAGTTAATTTATATTTCTCTGATCAAGTCTTATAATATAATGGTGTTATTGATCCAGCAGTACCAGAACATTTATCTTCACTGTCAAAACGTGGTGCCTATATTACCCACAATGCAATTAAAGGAGAGTTACGAGCTACAGAGGTCAGCTACATTTACTTCTTTCTATAAGGTTGCAGTCGAATAGTCAAAAAATCAGCTCCTAAATTCTAACCCTATCGTCTATCCCTTGACCTCTGTGTGAAACGTCACGGGGTTAAGGGATAGTGGATAGGAGAATTCAAAAGGACTTAGGAGAAGAGACTGCGGTACTTTAGAGAATCCGACTGCACTTTCACTATCCAACGTGTTTATGATGCGCCAGCGGACGTCATAAATGTGCGCCTGCTGCTGTGTGGAAACTATGGAAACTACAGTTTTCTATACAGCGGACTACAACATGGATGTATAATAAGAACGAGGGACTACTGTAAACTCATCTAGAGACTCTGCACCGTGCTCTGATGCTGTTGTTTTATGCCTTATGAACGTGGACAACAGAGAAACATATTCTTCATGACCAAAGTTGGAATTGAAATAAAAAAGGAAAGTGAAATTTATGCTCGTCACCCTCTCCCTCCGTTCCACATTAATACAAATGATCCCAATACGTATTATTGTATGAACTATGAAAAGATCTTAAAATCAATACAAATGTATTTATTATAAACGTTAGTCCTTAACATCTATCACTGTGTATATCACCATTCAAACATCTTTTAAAAGTTGAACAAACCCCACACAGCTCAGTAAAGACTGTGAAATGTTGACTTTATTTGATCATTTCAGTAAAAAGTAACGTTCATATTTCTCCTTATGATTATAATACTGATGAACGTTCAAAACAAAGCACTTTGGCAACTTACCACATACGTTTTAAAATGCTTAATAAGCACCGTAACTTTCATGATATAATTTCTCGGTCATAATCGGTTGTTTCCGTGAACGGCCGACTGTTGTGTGACGGCAAATGCTGCGGCCGCAAGGCATTGTGGGGCAGCATTTTCTCCTCTCCTTTTGTAAAGGGAGGTCCAGTGGTTCCTAAGCTAAAGGAGGTGATAAAGGAAGTTTGAAACCTCCTTTCCTTTCATTTAGAGAATTCGAACGGCACTTATCATGGCTGCCACTGAGGTACTTCCGGGTCATTTCACTCTGTTAGGAAGGTTCCTAAGCTAAATGGACTATTCGACCGCAACCTAACTCTCTGCTGACTCAATCACCTGAAGAAATGTATCAGAGTTCACAAAGCTTCCTCTGGAGTCACAAAATACTTTCCCCCCCAAAATATGCAGATAGGACTCCCGAGCACACAGGAATCCAAAAATATAGTTCCCCTTTAATCTAGCACTATTTCTTCTTTTGTCTATATATTTAACAGCTCTTCTACCAGGTGAAGGGAGACATGTGTCTGAAGGTGATAGAAAACGGGATTCACAAGGATGTGAACATCAAGGAGGGAGAGGTGAGCTCGAATAGGGTTCTGTTTTTTCGTTTTGGTAAAGTTATATCCTTCATAATAAGTCAAATACTACATATTATTATTATAATAGTGGAGTTAATCTTAAGGCAGTGCAATACAGTTTGTCTCTGCCTCTTTCTGTGGTTAAGGATGTTCTTCTTATCAAAATAAACTAGTCTTGTTACAATGCTCCAATGTGTGTCTCCTTCAATCATGATATTTTTCTTCATTCAAAGATGTTCCTTCTGCCAGCGAGGACCCCCCACTCCCCCCAGAGACAGGCCAACACTGTGGGACTGGTGGTGGAGAGGAGACGTCTGCTGATGGAGAACGACTGCCTGAGGTTAAATATCGTACATCTTCTTCTCCCTTCTCGTCTTTCCTTTGTTCCACATCTCTTTTTAAGCAGATCATATCAGGGAATAGAGGAAAAAGATCCTGACAAATTAACCCAATTGATATAGCCTACCAGGAAAATCTAAACTTTAGAGACCAGCTTTTCTCAATTGTGTTCATGTGCTTTTTGATACAAAAGAGCAGTTCTGAGGTTAAGAAGAGCCATTGATTGTTTTACAATTCAAATTAAAGTCTCATGTCTGTATATTCAAGTCCCAAGTCAAGTCACAAGTCCTTAACTTTGTTTTTCGAGCCCTTGACCGCTTTATGCTATTTTTTTGTTAAGGTTAACCAACATGATTTTGGTACAAAACAATATCATTTTTCTTATCAGTTCTCTTTATTGGGAATAATTTTGAAATATTGTGAGCAGATGACGCTGATCTGGAATCGCACTCATGTCTTGAATGTCTTGCAAGCCATGTTTCTATAGTTTAGGTAGTTTAGCAAAAATAATGACAATTGTTTGGACAAAAAACAAGAAACAAAGTTAATACATTTTAGTTGTGACAACTGCATTTGGAACTCATAAAAACTGTGGAAAATAACTGTACATTGGCGTACAATCAAAATACTTTATTTTTCCTGTGTCCAAATAAACACAACAGACATGTCATATGTAAGAGCAGCATTAACATTAGCCTTTGTTGATGCCTTCAGGTACTATGTTGACAACACCACGTATCCCCTGTTCGAGAAATGGTTCTACTGTGAGAACCTCGGAACCCAACTGGTGCCAATCATCAAAGAGTAAGACATCCTACTCATTGGTTCCTTCAAATCCATTTCTTTGAATTAAGTTTGTTAATTCTGGTTTATTTGTTTTACTTTCAGGTTCATGGCATCAAAGCAGTGCAAAACAGGAAAGCCTGATGCAAGTAAGATGTTCTGAGATTTATTGTGATTCTTAATCCTTATTTCTGATCTAAAGTCTTATCACCCGTAATCTGTTGTCGTCATGGTTATTTTTGGATGAACAGATGATGTGTTCAGAGACCCTCCATTCCAGATGAACACGATGAAGGTGATGTCACCCTTCTCCTTCAAAGACTGGCTGAACACCCAGAGGCCGACCCTGGCCAGCGGCAGCCCCATCGACATGTTCGGGGATCAGTTTGAGACCGAGGTACTACGAACATGTATTCAGACATGTTTTTATAAAGGTTTTCCACTTTCAACATGGCTAAGTTTTTCAATCTTGTATACTTATCATTTGATCAGATAGTTGCTGATTTAAAAAGCAATAGTCAATTTTGCTACGGCACATCTTATAAAGCTAATTAAATTAAGCAAAGTCAATATTTATTTATGTAGCCCAAAATCAAAGGGGCTTCACAATCTGTAAAACATAAAACACCCTCGATGCATAGAACCTCTATTCATATAAGGGAAAACTACCTTTTTAACATGCATTTTCATACCAACAGACATTTAAAAGATCTTCTAAGTACAGATTAAAATAATTAAAATAAGCAACATTTGTTTAGATGTACTTCAGGTCTTACAGAAAAATCCTGGTACTGTATAAAAACTATTGCTACCGGTGGAAATGTAAACAACATCTAGTTCTTGTGTATTTTCCAATAATTTATTTCCTAATGCTGTAATGAAATGTTTTGTTAAAGCAAAGTGAGATTTTGGAATCGTCATGCCTGTGGTGAATTACCATGACAAAGCTTGGCTGTTAAGTACTGGATATTCATTGACTATTGAATATGAGCAGATGTGATGTGCTGCACTAATGCTCTCTCTCTCTTGTGACAGGTGATAGTGTATGGACCTGGGCGCAACGAGACGTCAGTACGGATAACTGATGCGTGGGTTTGGCAGATGGTATGTTGTTCGCTTCATGGTGTGTTCCTTCTGTAGCTTCCAAACAGACTCTCAGTGCTGTTCAGATGCTGCCATCCCTGAGTACGATGTAGCGTTTGCTCATATGTGTGATAACCAAACCCTGTGTTAACAACCTCTCATCTCACAGGAGGGATCCTCAAGGGTAACTTTGAATGAGCAGGAGTTCCTTCTAGCTGCAGGACACAGTTTGCTCATTCCTGAACAAAGCCAGTGAGTAAATATTAAGGAGAAACATTAGCCGCTTTCACACAAAGTACTTTGCGGTACTTAGTTCCCGGTACTTGGTTCCCGGTACTTGGTTCCCGGTACTTAGTCCCCGGTACTTAGTCCCCCCGAACTCTTTAGTCCCTGGAACTGTCCTGTAGATCGTGTTCACACCGGAATAAGTCCCTGACGGTACGTCCACATGGCAGCGTCGCGTTGAAGCTTGCCGGTGGGCGTGTTTGGCGTGCGACCAACAACCAATCACATTAATCTCCCGCCCCGGACACACAAGCACGCGGTTTGATTGGCTAGAGCTTGTACTGGCATATGATTTGATTGGCTGGCGCTTCCGTCGACGCTTGAAAAGTTGAACTTTTCTCAACTTTCGAAGCGAGCAACGGATGCAAAGCGACGCGACGGAACCACAATGCAGTTCGGCAAAGCGTGACGTCACCCCATTCAAAGTGAATCGGAAGCGTCTCCGTTGAAGCACGCGACGCTGCCGTGTGGACATACCGTTAGGGAGGATTACGCAAATGCCGCTGACGTCACTTCTTCTTCTTCTGCTTTGGGTTTACTGGCAGGCCGCAAACAACTTCACGGCGTATACTGCCACCCGAAGTCCCCCGGAGTTGGCTTCAGTAGAAGCTGCTGGGTAGCGTCTTCCGAGTAAATCGCCAGAAGCGCCGGCACCTCCTCATCACTCCACCGCTCCCATGTTTTCTTTTGTGTTGCCATAAGTTAGTCTCTCTCCGTTGGTGCGCTGGGCTAATGCTAATAATGCTAATGCAAGCAAATAAAATGGCGGCTTCACAAAACTTTTCTGAGTTTTACGGGGCGTGGTTTTGCAATTCGCCCAGCCAATCAGAAATTGTTAGTGTGGCCGACACACCCACGAACCATTTCCTCCCCAGGAAAGTACCACCTCTCTAGCAGGAACTATCTGGGGGTGAAAAGGTTAGCGCGAACTAGGTTCTAGTTCCAGATATTTTTGGTGTGAAACCAAAATCCCAAGAACTATCGGCCTAGTTCCTGGGAAAAGTACTCCGGTGTGAAAGCGCCTATTAGTATTCTTCAACCTGGAACTTATTTCTAACAATGTTTTGTGTATGTGAATAATGGGCCAACAATTTCGGGAAATCGGTCCAGTATGGTGTGAGTAGTAATCGTACTTGGTTTCTTCTCCTGCAGGTACCAGTGGCAGAGAGATGAAGGGACTGTTGCTCTGTTTGTGGTCCAAAACCCTGAGCGGAAGAGACCCTGAACATCACACGGCCATTCACACACACAATAAATGTGCGAGTGCAGTCAGTGCCTGTTTAAGGCATGCCGGTTCCTAATGGACCCAATTATTTGCCTGTGGTGTATAACTACAGCTCACTTATGAGAGAAATTACACTAAATAAATCAATAGAGATAAATTGTGATTATTTAAAAAATAAATAATAATGTTCTTCCTGATTCTCCCCTTTTTGAGTTTCGCTTCCCAAATGACCACATTTCCTATTTTTTCCCCCTTAAAGCATTGGGTAGGCGTTACATTATGGACTCAGTTTTTTTACAGGAACCGTGTCAAAAAGCCTCCCAGTCCAACTGCCATGTTTTTGATAGATTGTGTAGATTTTCTTTGTAAGTAAAAAAGTGTTATGAATGTTTTCAAATGAAATATATGTATTGCATGCATGCCACGTTCAGGTGCCAGTGTCTTGTTAAATCAACACCATGCATTTATAAGGGGCTTGCCAAGAATAAAAAACAGAACTGACTAGGCATGATTTTAGTGATTTGTTTTAAATATAAAACTGTGTACTGGCTGCAGACTTAATAATAAATACATATGTGTGGTTGTGGACGCATGATGTAAAAACGAAATTAACTTTTTCAGACAGGAATTACCACACCACACACAACAAAAAATAAATAAACAGAGATTCCCATTTGTCTAAGGCATACTTTCTACGCTTTCTGTTATCTGAAATGGCTGAATTGAGAATAGCTCATTCACTCACATATTTGAATCAAGGGAGACCTATTTCTGAGGGAAATTATAGATATATCCATAAGATGATGAGAAATGTGAGTAGTAGCCTACCTGTGTCACAGAGAGTGAAGTATGGTTGACCCAAATGCATGTCAGGAAGATTCAACAGTAAATACCTTTAACTTCAGGTAATCCAGGCAAAACAGAACTTTCGAAAGAACAACATCCAAGGATCCTAAAAAAGTAAAAAACCAGGACTTAAAGGTCACCTATTATGTAAAATCCACTTTTTCACGTCTTTTATACATAAACATGTGTCCCATCTGTGTAAAGAGATTATATAAAAACCTGTCTGAAAATCAGCTGATCAGATTTGGACCACTACTGTATATGATGTCATAATGATTTTTTGGCTAGTGTAACCATTAGCCAATAACCAACCAAGGTAACCCCTTATCACCTGAATCTCCTCCTAGAGCACCAGTGTGTTCTTTTTAACCAAATATCTCGCAGAAGGGCGTTGGGAGTAGCACCCTATTTTCATCTAAAGTAAAAGACACAGAATCATTCGAGCCAAACACTTCAGAGACATGTTTTGTATATATATGAGACCTATAATATATTGATGAAAAAGAGTATAATAGGGGACCTTTAACTACAAGCTGAAGTAATGAGGGCAGGGTCGGCGTCATGGTTGGGTCATTCGCGGGCCATGCCCCCCCAAATGAGTCACTGTGCCCCCCAACGCAGGGCAGGCAAGCCTTGCCACTTTGCCGTTTAAAAAAAAAAAAATCATAATACAAGTGAAAACGTTTCCACTAAATGTTTTTTGTGTCAAATAAATCAGAAATAAAGAATACAAATATAAAACATAGCCTGAGGTGTGCTCACTGCTGCTCTTTGATTGGTGTGTTGCTTGACCAATGACCCCCGACCTTTGTTTTGTTGTCATTACGTGGCTGTGTGTTTAGATGAAAGCCCAGTGGCAATCTGTTCATCTGTTATACTGATTATACAGTAAAGCCATCGAAGATAATATGATATAGTACAGTACAACTACTTCTGGGTCTCTGTGTTTCATTCAAGCTCGGCTCTGTGTGTGTGTAAGAAGGCATATTTCCCAAAACGCAACACTATTCCTTAAAATCATTTATTTACATTAGTCTACCAATCCACCAGTCTTGTTTTGGTCTGTGATAAAAGAAATACAGAAAATGTTGTCAGCTTTAATGAATCACCATTTTAACTTAAAACATCAAATAAAAAAGCACAATAGTGTGGTGTTGTTCCTGAAATTATGTTACTACATTGTAGTTTTTTGGAAGTGCAGTATTCCAGATTATTATCAGTTCAGTTGAACAGTCGTATCCTCAGAGTGTTCCTGATCACATGCTGCTCAGCCATAAACGCCGCCACAGTCCAGGGCACTGCATATTCCAGAGTCACCAGTCCTCCCAGGTTGTACCTAAAACCTGAGTAGTCCCATGGACAGGCCCCCAGCAGACTCAGCCCCACCCCCCAGCTGAATTCCCACAGGTAGATGAACATGGTGTAGGCTGCCAGACGCAGAGGCAGCGGAAGACGCCGAGCCAGCAGCCGCTCTCTCAGGCTCTCAATGAGGTAGATAGCAATGGCGTACATAGGCAGCGCCCACAAGCTGCTGTGGCCCGCCAGCCTCCTGTCCGCGGTGCTGCACCAGTCCCACACTGCAGTGAAGGCCACCTCGCACAGGCAGCCATGAAGCGCGTACACGTACAGACGAGCTACAGCAGAGAGAGGACGACCTGGGAGGCTCCCATGTGGTGGGGCTTCATCTTCAAAACCACTTCCTGTTATAAAGGAACACAATGTTCACAAAAACAAACATTATGGTACACTGACCTGCTTTTTGGACCATAAGCAAAGATGATTTATGTTTTTGAAATATACTAAAGTTTGAATAATTAGTGTACAGGGAAAATGGAAAGGTGTTATGTGCCATCGCTTTGCTAGCTGGTAGCAGTAACTTCCTAAAGTCTCAGTTGATTGTCTGTCAATGTTTACAACAGGGCCTAAAAAAAGAATTGGACAAACAAAACCCATAAGCCCACAAATTGTGTTTTTTTTAGGGCTGTCAGTCGATTAAAATATTTAAACGCGATTAATCGCATGATGTCCATAGTTAATCGCGATTAATCGCAAATTAATCGCACATTTTTTAATCTGTTTTAAATACAATAATACAATACAAAGTGTGTGTGTGTGTGTGTGTGTGTGTGTGTGTGTGTGTGTGTGTGTGTGTGTGTGTGTGTGTGTGTGTGTGTGTGTGTGTGTGTGTGTGTGTGTGTGGAGAGACACTGTGATGGATCGTTGGAGCTATGTGCAGCTCAAGGCATATGCTCGAACGGGAGCTGCCTGGACGCTGCAATCATGTTGCGCGCACTATCCGTGGTGAGTGTGCTGACTTTTTGTACAATGTCCCACTGTCTGGCTACCTGCATAAAGTCAAGTGCTCGGCGCAGTTGTCGGCGAAATGCCGCTCCTCTATTTTCATAACTGTCAAAGCATGAGACTGAAGTTCCCACTGTGTGTCAAAATAAGGCACTGTGACCCCGAGGTAACTGTCATTACTGAGTGAAGTCCAATAGAGAACCGCAGTGACGCGTCCTAAAACCCGGAAGTAAGTTAGCATTTTTACCACTGCCGGTTCCTTCGACAAAAAGCAATGGGATTTCTCCATAGGGTTTTGGAAAATAGCTGAAATAAGGTCTGTGTTTGACACAAATTGGAGAGACAGATCACGTTTTGTTCTACGACATTAAATACATCAGCAGTGTAGCACTGGTGATTTTTGAAGAGATTACGTGTCTGAAAAACGATGGTTGTTAACATGTGGCTGAATAGGACTACAGAAGTTGTCGAGGCCGTTTTACGTCATTACACCGAACACGTAAACACTCCCGCTAAGTTTGTTTGCCCTGTTCTGCTTGAAAGCAAGTACCTGCGCTCTTGCAAACTGTTAAAACAAACGCTTCAACTTGTACAATTTTGAATCTGCAGTTTTTAATATGGATCTTAAGTTGGCGTGACGTTGAAGCAGCGACCCTGCTGTAGTTCGTTTATAGCATAACGTTAGCATTTTGCTTCTGGCGACTAGATTTATGATTCGAAAATTATAAAAGTAGGGTAGACATGTGGATATTATCCGGCTGAACAAAACGTGATCCGTCTCTTAAATGTGTGTCAACCACAGACCTTATTTCGAGCTATTTTTCAAAATCCTATGGAGAAATTGCATTGGTTTTTGATGAAGGAACCGGAAGGAGTTTACTTCCGGGTTTTAGGACGCGTCACTGCGGTTCTCTATAGTCTCCGGTGAGCGTGGACCTGCTGCAAGCGGGCGGCAGGAGCGGGGCTGTCAGCATCAGCTTGTAGATGGTATTTTAAACTCGATGCACACTGAAACTACGGGGTGGGCCGAGGACAAAAAATACACATGCGTTAATCGCGTTAAAATAATTTGTGGCGTTCAATTTTCTTTTTCGTTAACGCGTTATTAACACCCTAGTTTTTTTTCCAACAAGTCCTCCAACTCATACGACCAAATAGGTCGATTGTTCAAGTGCTTATTATGACCAAATAGGTCGATTGTTCATGCGCTTATTACGACCTATAATCACGTTTTAAAGTTTTCGACCTCTAGTGCTCCCGTTGACTGCAAACGCTCCGGAGGGTCGTATATTCACAAATAACCCTCTCTGGAAAATCCTAAAATGCTTTTTGATTAGATTTTTAGCGAGAAGTGTATATTGTACTTTTAGAATTCACGTCCAGTGGATGTGTAGGATATATAGTTTGATAGATATTACGAAGATGATTTGAGGTCTCGCCAGAAGAACGTGTAACGGCAGCGTCCATGTAAAGTTAGCGTCAACCCTCACAGGGTGAAAACAGTATTTTCGGTCTCGAAGTTTTCATAATAAAACCAATGATCAAATGATTTAACAGTGATATCTGCAGTACTCATCCACCAAAAAACATCAGTTTATCCTTGTTAATTACACGACATTCATTGGTTTAAATTGTGTACACTGCTTTTGTGTTTTTCCCATAGGTTTTTCCCTTTCGATTTCTTTTTTCAGAGGTTTTGATAGGCTAAAACATCGAACTACCCATAATCCTCAGCTATCGTTGAAGCTTGGTGATTGGATGTTTTAGCCGCAATGCACGTTGGGATATGGTGTTTATGCGATGTGAAATCCGAAAACATAAAAAAAAAAAATTAAATAATACTTTATTCCACGTGTGCTTGCTTTTCTCTTTGAAAGTCATCACATAACGGCATTGTAATACACGGTTGGGCTGCATTAAATATTACACATCTGCCGTAGTTCTCTATTTATAGAGCCCTGATTAACAGGCCCAATCCCAAACCGCCCCCTTCACACTACCCCTCCGTTTGCATGTTCGCGCGGAGGGTCCGCCAGATTAAGTGCTGTTCCAAACCTATCCTGTGACCTAAGATTTTCATCGACATAACTACTCTGTAGCTATGTTCGTATGACAAATAAAGAACCTTGAACCTTGAACCTTGAAACCAACGAGTGTGGAGCGGTGTGGAGGGGGAGTGGGTTATCAAGCCCTCAAATAGCGAGTCTGCATCGGTGCTGACTTGAGACTGGTCTCTACCTGACCGGTCTCAACGCTGTGTGTGTCCGTCAGGAAACATGCCGTTTACAAGTAGTTCCAGCAAACATCCACTGATAAACTGCGATGTTAAGAACCTCATGATAACCTCATATTTTTTTTAACTTAGGATCATACCTGTGTTTAGTCTAGAAAAAGGTAAATGTGTGCATTTTATTATAAAGTTGTGTATATTTACAGACTGTTGCAAAAATTAAGAAGCTTATAAACATCAGGTTTAAAACTAAAAGAGCTTTACAAAAAAGTAACACAATTAAAGATGTTTGGAGTTTTATCTTAGTTATTCATTTACATCTTTTGTCTAAGAGATGCTGATTTGAAACCGTTGTTACATACAGTTACGGCATTTCCTGTTTCTGCCGGAGAGAGGGGAGTTTGTCCCAAAGCTTGCCGCTGTATTTACTCCCTCCATCTGACAGGAGGGAGCCTCATTGAGCTGCGAGTGTCACTCCATGGAGTTCACTCCGTCACGGAGGGGTAGTGTGTAGGGGTAGGGTGTAGGGCATGGTTTGGGATTGGGCCGAAGACTTCTGGACAAACTGGAAGAAATGCCGCCGAAACTGAATACGTGACGTGGATCATAAATATATCAGCAATTAAACAACATCTTCAATTTCTCTTCACACAATACGTCTCCTTGCAGTATCAATAGTAATTCGGCTGACTTTTATATTTGATCCAATTGGTAGATAGGCTTTATTTACCCCATAACGGTGCACAGCTGATAGACAGGGACTTGTAGTTTTTAAAGATATTACTGATTTTCTTTGAATATAAGAATGTAAATACTGAGTTGAGAGAATAGTCAGGGGTTTTGGGTGATGGGAGACACATCTATGGAATCAGAATTTCAATAGCTTACCATTACATGACAGGTGCAGCCCTGTCAGTTAATCTTTGACCATTAAGTCTAATACAGTCAAGCATGCAGTTGAAAAGTTACACAGGAACAGAGGATGCATGTTTCTAAACTCATAACTAAGATCAAATCGGCCTTAGATACTGTAGCATTGTGTTTCATGACATTGATTTACATTTGAATGACACACTGTATATGTACAGTTGTGGTTGCCTGTCGTTACTGCCTGTATTAATAGGGCGGATATCATCACGTGTTTTGAATTTTAGTGCTGGGTCCACAGGTCTGTTGACATTAGGATTATGAGTTCTGTTTTTGACCAATAAATGCAAAACATGGTGATCATGGTTGGTCCGTGAACAGTCCTGGAATGATTTGTTCCTGTTTTAACCATGTAAAAACCCCTTTTTTACACTTTGTTTTAAAAATTACTGCCAACAATAATGTTTTCTTCTTTCAAAATAATCTTAATTTGTGTGTTTAACAAAAGAAAGATACATTTAAATTATATTACATTTGGTCAGCTTTATTATTTCTTTTTTTATATTCTTCCCCATGATAACGCTTTGAGAGCATATACAGTCCGGTTCCCTTCCTCCGCCACAGGACACACAGCGTTTCTTAGTGTGCATGCTCTTATGTGGATTAAAAGGCTAATAGCCCAGCTTAACAAGTTAAAGGCTTTGAAAATCTTCAACAGGTTTCCACTCTCAACTACAATACATACATGTAACCATATACCAACAACAAATCAAACTGGTGACATAAGATAAGATAAGATGTATTTTATTGATCCCAATTGGGAAATGTTTGCGTTGCAGCAGCATAAAAAAACAAGGCATTGCACATAAGTAGAAATTAATGATATCCTTGTCATTATATTATTTCTCCTTAAAATAAAGTCAAGTGAACATTAGTCTCACAATATCATTGCATCCGATTCCACCACTTGGCAGACTTAAACCGAGAGTAGGATGCAAAGACAACAAATGTCGTATAATGAATCAAAGAATGGCCTTCTACAAATACTGAACATAATTAACAGGAAACAATAGTATTTCTCACCTTGGTCATTACTCCTTCTCGCATTTAGCTTTCTCGCCTCCATCCCTGGGCAGCATATGGGTCTCTGTGCCTTTGTAATCCCTCTGCTTCCCTGTGTGTGTGTGTGTGTGTGTGTGTGTGTGTGTGTGTGTGTGTGTGTGTGTGTGTGTGTGTGTGTGTGTGTGTGTGTGTGTGTGTGTGTGTGTGTGTGTGTGTGTGTGTGTGTGTGTGTGAGAAAGCCTGGTCCACCTGAGGATCAGACGCCTGTGTGCATGTATAAAAATATTGATCTCTCTGTGGGAGACAGCGGCTGGGTGAATGGTTTCTTTTGAGCAGTAATCAGTGAACCACAGTAGGTGGGTGTGTCAGAGAAGCTCCCCAGTGTGGATATTTGGACTCACTGGCCAACTTCTATTATTCTTAACTTTTACGGTGCATCTCCATTTTCTGTATTAAAAAAAAACTATTTGACTACACTTGTCTTAAAAGGTTGGTTCTTAACCTACCAGCAGACAGTAAGACATCTGAAATCATATTTTAGACAAACAATAATTTCTTCCACCTTAATATTTGTGTTTATTATTACAGATATTGTGTTTATTGTGGAATTTGCGTTTGTTTATTTCGTTAGAATCTTTGTATTTTCTGGCTTTTAAATATCTTTCGATAGTAACAACAAATTCTAGACAAAACTAATCCTAAGTTTAATAAATAAAATTAAAAATAAATACATTCAACATGCAATACAGTTATATTTTGTATTAATTATATTTTGTATTGATTGTTGCCCCTCATTAAATCGTGTCTGTTTATTTTAGTAGCTGGAACAGGTGATAATGTAGAAAGGAAATGTATGATACCTTACTAGGCTACATACAAATTTGAATTAGTCATTTATCTGCAAATCTATTATGAGTAACTAGAATGTACTGTTACATCACTATCAGCGTGACTAAAGCTGCCAACACGCAGATAAACATTCAATATAAATAAGCAGTTTCACACATGCACAGACCATAAAGTGTCCCTGAGAGCAGATGTCAGTCCTGATACGGTGCAACTGCAGGTTCCTGTGTGTTTGTTCTGTGCGTGCTCTAACAAAACAGTTGGTTGAATGGTGGATCTTTAGATCAGAGTCCAGTGATTCTAGCAAACACACCTTTAGGGCTAGGAAGGGGGACTGCACCGCTATATGGGAGTCAATGACCATAAAGTTATCGAGCTGACAAAGGTCGGACTCTTCACAAAGTGCTGAGATGTGCTGACTCTGTGTGCTGCCTTGTTACAAACTGAATTACCACTAAACAGTATTTGGTTAGTGAAATTAGCCCTCTCTTTCTCAGAGAGCAGAGAGAACCTTCACTTGTTGCTCTTTCCTTATTTATCATTAATATGGGGTGGGACTGGTATAGTTAATTAAACAGAAATCAATTGGTCTGAATAATGATTAGATCCTAGATGAGTCCTAAAATCCAGAAATTAAAAGGCACCCTTGCCTAGAAGTTAATGTTTTTTTTCTTCATTTAATCGCTTACATTATCTTATGTATCCAATGGAAATATCCCATTTGCTTTTTGTCAATGAAACCAGAGGGACGCTCTCTTCAAGGTTTACACAAAAAATTCCTATCCTAGCTTCGTTCAGTCTAAAATACATTTTGAAATCCGATTAGATCACCGAGAGAATCTGTGGAAATATCTTTTGGGCATGCTGTCTGAACAAGGCCTCTGAGTCATGGATGAAAGTCCATTGAATATTGGGTAAAGATCAGGTGACGAGATGACAGGACATGGGATGAGAATACAATCTCAGTTAAAGGTCCCATGACATGGCCATTTCTACTGATCATAATTCCATTGTTGAGGTCTACTAGAATAGATTTACATTGTGCAATTTTCCAAACTCACATTGGTTTCTCATACAGCATCTCTGTATAGAGTGGCAAAGTCCCTCCCCTTCCGGTGGACCTCCATGGGACCTTATTTCGGAAAAATTATGTATTGAAGTCAATGGAGAGAGAAAGATTATCTTATTGTGCCACGAATTACACATATGATGTTTGTCAATTTAAAAGATAATTTTGCAAGTCAAAAAAACAAAACTGTGAAGTAACACATTTTTTTGTGTGAAACGCTCAATGAACTACATCTCTGGTCCCGCACAACAACACACGTCACCAAGATGGCCGTCACTACTGTCTTGCCTAAAAAGGGATTGACTACCCTCACTATCACCACAATGAAACACGTCCAGAAGAATGTCATGCAAAGCTGCCTGCCTGCCTTCCTTTGATTCTCTCTGAACTGCCTGATCTTTTTAATGTTTAATGTCAACCATTTGTGCAGATAGCATGAAGTAGAAAAGATCGCCGATGCTAATGTAGCGTTAGCGTTAGCATTTCTCCCCCGGGCTTAAATGGTGTATTATAGAATGATCACACCGGGGTCACGAAATATGACTACTACTCTTACTGTTTAACATTTTGGGTTACTTAATGTTACTTCATGTTAAGGCAAATAAAAATGACAAGGCTAACCCCTAGATTCCACCGGGTCCGTCTGCGGCGCGTTACGGGCGCGTTACGGGCGCGTTACGGGCGCGTTACGGCTGCGCCGCGGTGCTCACGGCGATCGCGGCCACTCTAGTCAATGGGTGCTATTCCACCACACGCGGCGCGTTACGGCTCAGAAGCGTCCCAGAAGCGTCCCAGAAGCGGCTCGGCGCAGGGCTCCTCTAAAATTAGGATCGAATCCTATTTTTGTCGCGGCGCAGCCGTAACGTAAGGTCGGGGCAGGCAGGAAGTGGAACGTTCAGAGCATATATAGCATATATATATATATATTAGGGCTGTCAAGTTAACGCGTTAATAACGCGTTAACGCAAAAAAAATTAACGCCACTAATTATTTTAACGCGATTAACGTATGTGTATTTTTTGTCCTCGGGCGCCCCGTAGTTTCAGAGCGCATCGAGTTTAAAATACCATCTACAACAGGGGTGGGCAAACTTTTTGGCTCGGGGGCCACTATGAGTTTTAAATTTGACAGACGGGCCGGGCCAGTAGCAGATCGATAAAAAAATATTTAGCTGTCCACTCCTCATTATACACTCGGCACTCAATGTTGACTTTTCTTTTCTTTGGTCCACTCATTGTTACAGATGCGGGTTCAAAGGTGAATTATTGCGTCATTGCGTCATCGTTTGCGTCATGACGTAAACATTTACGTGCCTTCTTATGACCCACACAGCGTTTTACGTCGCTGATTTTCTCCGCAACACCGCTCACAACAAAATCAATAGAGGACTGCGTCGGGTAGTTTTTAATCATACGAAGCCAGATTAAATTAAAGAACTACTTCTCCAACCTTGTACCATTCTCCAGAGTGCCGTGGAGCATTGTTTATTAATGCGGTTCAGCTGCATTACTGCCTGCTGCAGTGCTGCTCGTCTACCGGAGTTTATTCTCCTGTTAACTCGTGGCAGCGGCTGCTGTAAAGTATTCACTGTCCGACTGTCACACAAGCAGCTGATAAATATCCCCCATCCCCATCAGTGAATGTGTTTTTGTCTGAACGCTGTTTGGCATCACAACGCTGTTATGAAAGTTTCTCTGGCATTCTACAGGTGATGTTAGCATAGCAACCGAAGCTAATCAGACTATCTTGACTACTTGTTGCTATCATATTGTGGCACAAGCCGTTTTCTACACGCATATTTTACCGGCGTAGTTTTCGTTATGATTTTACTTGTGATGGCCACATGTAGCCCATGTATTTATTCCATCCGATAGCTGCAATAATATAAAACAAAAGGAAAACGTCTGCCTCTTCACAACGGTCAATAACAGTGAACGGATGGTCATTAAAGTAAGGTCAAATAAACAGAATCACACTAAGCCTGGTTAGTGTTGCCTGACTTTATATGTGTTTTTTATAAGTGTGTGGTCGCGTTCTAGTCACTTTGCTCAGCGCTACTGCTTGTTACAACTTGTATTCGCCGTACTCGCCATGAACTGTTATTGCTCAGGTTAATCTCGACCCCCTCCAATGTAAGCGTGACGTATTTGGTTCTTGGATCTTGCCGGGTTGCCGAGTGGGGCCAGTTGAGAGAATAGACCAGACTCCAGCAAAGGTAAATTGTGTCTAGAGTGCGCCATCTAGTGGGATCAACTGAAATGCCGGGTATTGCAGGAAAAAGGCAAAATGAATGCGGTCTTTACTATAATTTGGACAATTTTGTACCAATATTCGGCGGGCCAGATTCAAAAGCCCAACGGGCCGTATATGGCCCGCGGGCCTTAGTTTGCCCATGCCTGATCTACAAGCTGATGCTGACAGCCCCGCTCCTGCCGCCCGCTTGTGGCAGACCACACTTCCACGCTCCCCGGCAGGCCCGGACTGGCCATCGGGAGGACCGGGAGGGTGTGTGTATGTGTGGTGCGAGCGAGGCACACCTTACGTGTTGTTGTTGTTGTTAGCATCTGGTGCTAGCTAGCTGCGCTAACGGATATAAGGAGCTGTTTCAATGAAAACAGAGGAGCGACATTTCGCCGACAACTGCGCCGAGCACTTGACTTTATGCAGGTAGCATGTGGGACATTGTACGAAAAGTCCCAACACTCAGCACGGATAGTGCGCGCAACATGATTGCAGCGTCCAGGCAGCTCCCGTTCGAGCATATGCCTTGAGCTGCACATTAGCACATAGCTCCAACGATCCATCACAGTGTCTCCACATTCACACACACACACACACACACACACACACACACACACACACACACACCACACACACACACACACACACACACACACACACACACACACACACACACACTGTATTGTATTATTGTATGAGAGAGGTTCCAGGTTGAATTGAGGCGAATATTTGTAATGTTCAGAGGTTGTTGTGTTTAATATTCATGAGAATATTTGTCATTGTTCAAATGATAATAAACAAACATATAAAGCATATTTGTCCACTCATATGTTGATAAGAGTATTCAAAACTTGAAAAATATCCCTCTAAGGTACATTTAGAACAGATAAAAAATGTGCGATTAATTTGCGATTAATCGCGATTAACTATGGACAATCATGCGATTAATCGCGATTAAATATTTTAATCGACTGACAGCCCTAATATATATACACA